TTTTTTTTGGTATAGCTTGATAGGTGACATTATTTTTATTATCGGTATTGCCATTTGCTGACAAGTTTAGGGATGCGCACTTCTGCTGTCAGAAGTGCTGTCGATCCAAATGCTGCTGGCGATTGGACAAAATTTGGTAAAGGAGACGTGGTCAGGAAGATGATGCAGGTGATTTTCTTACCTCTTTAAAACTCATAATAAGATTCTACTAGTGGTTTTCAGGCCATGGGCTACAAAGAGGGCGAGGGTCTCGGAGTTTCGGGACAGGGAATTGTTGAACCAGTCCAGGCCACGGTTCGTAAAGGACGTGGTGCCGTGGGAGCCTACGGAAAAGAAGCAATAGGGCCAAGATTTGGCGGTTAGTCAGTTATCAATTTCATGGGAGGCAGATCTATCCCCTAATATTTTCAGAAACGGCTGCCGAAGCTCAGCGTCGAGAAGCTAGCGAGCGTGAGTCGGGCAGAATAGTAGAAGAACAACCATCAACTCCACAATTGAAAAATGCGTGGAAGAAAGCGGCAAAGGTAAATTTTCTTCATTAAGAACCAATACTGTTGTAGTTCAAAAAAGATTGTCCCTAGATCATCATATTCAGGTAAAAACTCGCTACAAGACGCTGGATGAGGTCATAGAAGAAGGAGGTTCTATCGGATTCCGTTCTGCGGTGCAAACCGGAGTGAAAGTCATTGATATGACTGGTCCAGAGCAACGAGTGTATAGTGGATATGATTCCTTCTCTATGAAGGGCAGGTACGTTTCACGATTTGCTGTATTCGTTCGAAAATGGATAAGCTGCAGGCCTTCGTTCAACGATATCAGCGATCGCGAAAATTTCGATGTGCCTGAACTTATGCATAATCTGAACTTGCTTGTCGATCTGACAGAGGAGAGCATCCGAAGAAATGATCACCAGTTGAAAACGATCAAGGTAAGTGTTTGACTCGAAAATCCTTTGTTTATTCTCTACTTCATATTGGAGACGTACAGGCCTGGCCTTAAAGGCAGTGTCCCCCCCCCCCCC